ACTGAATTGATGTGTTCGATTAAGTTCTATGTCAAATAAATCGAAAATCGAGAAACCAAATGCTAGACTAACTATTCCATAGTATTGTCAGCATGATATCTAACAGAGGACTGTACGATCCCTTATCTAAAGGACAAGATTGATTAGATCAGGGTTTGACAGCATCTTTGAGAGCTACGATTGCAAATCAGAATGTACCTGCGCATATAGTTACTAGACTTATCCAAGTGGGAGACTGTTGGAATAGTGTCTAAGGCTGCAACTATATTAGGTAACTATTTGACCCGACTGTGCATGGTCCTTTTGGGTTGCCTTCACCATAACAACTTGGTAGGATGATTTATAATTAGAGAATAGATATTATTAATATATTATGAGAATAATATAAGGAATAATAATATAGTTATTTGATTAATATAAGTCATAGATTAATTAGTATTAATTTGGTGACTTAAGGAGATTAATTAAATAAGAGGGTATAAACTGTCAATTGCTTGATAGTTAAACTTTAGACTGTAAATCCTTATTGGATAAAGGGTTGGACGATTTCTAGGCTAGGATAAGCCTAAATTCGTCCAAGGCATTATCTTGGAAGGATTTGGATTGCTTTGAGTAATAGTTATCCAACTAGGGTTTGAGTTGTAACCCTTAAGGAGTCTACAAGTATAAATAGACCCTATGGCAAAGGGAAATCGGAACATCATCTAAGGTAGAGAACCCCTGGCCGAATTCCTCTCTCTCCTCTATCTCAAATCATCCTCTTTGCTAGTTGGTGTTTGTAAGCCATTAGAGGAGTGACAATTGTGACTCTAAAGCTCCAAGAACAAGAAGATCAAACAAGTGTTTCAAGGTGTGCTTCTAACTCTGGTTTTGTATTGTTCTTACACCTAATTAACCATTAGAAGTCTTGGATTCAAAGCATGTTTAATAGAGAAACCTAGATCCGAGCATTAGGGTTCGTATGCGCACTTCGGAATGTTCTTATGTACAAAACCCATCAAAACGTACTATGTGGTTCATGATAAATTCTAATACAAATACAAACTTTCTTTATAATATAACTCAAAGTATATGTCCATACGATTCCAAAGATATAGAGAACGTCTGAATTTGACTTCGCATAAGCAAGTTGTGATAAACCGAACACTATATATCTCTATAATAAGAGGAATTTAAAATAAACTTAGAATTAACCATTAGAGTCTAAAAGAGAGTTGTAGTAGTCGTAAATACCTACGCGTGGATATAAAGAATGTCAAAAATGGAGTTCGTATGCGAAAGTTACGACCTTTCGAAGATTCGCCTATCAGAAACCCTAATCTAAATGAACTCACGACGTGAAAAAGGGTTTATTCATGACGTGAGGTGTCATTTGCCACATATCGGAATCTACAAGGTGTGTGATGAGGCTACGAGGGGATAAGATCAAAACTCACGATGTGAGCAAGGATAACTCTCGACGTGAGGATTCACATGGCCACCCTCCGAAGCTAGGGACTCAAATGGCAAGTCTACGGGATGAGCATGCAAGACTCACGACGTGAGTTTTATAAAACTCACGATGTGAGAGTCTAAAATCCTTACTATAAATAGCAGGTCTGACCTCAGCTATTCCTTACACCATTTCCCTTTCTCCTCTCTTGCATGCTGAAGCCATCTTGCATCCTGAGCCCCGACGACCTCGTATCGCTGACAAATCACGCTACTAGGGTGAGTTCATAGCCCCACTTTCTAATATTTTTAGGGGAACACATGTTATATATTGTATATACGTTACTATTAGATCTATATGATGGTTTATTTGTATCAATATAGAATATTATATTAATCAAGATATAGTTGTTCTAAATATAATATTTTGATTATATACAACTATGGTCAACTTGTTAGCATGCTATTGTTATAGAAATATATTAATGTAGATCTTGAGTTATACTTAAGATTCTATATATGTTGTGTGCGATATAGTTCCGCAGTTATATTCGGAAGTTCTATATGTTAAAAAGTATGTACGTTGTTATTGTTGGTTTTATATCATTATAAAACTTGTTATGTTATACGTTATTGTTATTATTGATTTTATGACAAGATAAAACCTGGTTTTACATCAAGTTATAGCTGTTATACTGCCTAAATGTTATGAAGTTAGGAGTAATGTTTAAAGGCAAAGTCTAGTAACTTAGAGTTTTAGATATGAAAATGCTTTTGTTGTTAGAGTTATAGGAAGTCGTCGAAGTTTACATGAGTAATTGTATTCATCAACTAAGATTGGGGATCTTAGCAGAAATCCACTGAACTGTAACCGTTAATCCCGTGTGAGCAAGGAAGTCATGTATAATTAGTATACGGGTTGAAAACCCCACTTGTGATTGTTAGTTACAGTCAACCATAAACAAGTGACGAACTATCCTTTTATTTGTTATTATTCCGGCGTCGATGAAGCGTACGGTTTTTTCTCTCATGGAAATCATGAGTGTATTGTTTCTCATGGAAATCATGAGAGTGTTTTATCAGAGGTATTGTGTCGTAGCAGCGGTTACAGGCTCATGGTAGCAATTTGTTAGAAACATTATACTTTGTCGTATACAAGTATTAATGTTATGTATAAGTTTTCCCCTACTTATATACTCTAGGTTCAAAGAACGTTTAGGTATAATACTTATTTGATAAGTAGAATATTATACCTGAAATATATACTAAGTGTTGAAGAGTCAAAACGATACTTTCAAAACTATACTCTTAAACTTGGAAAATGTGTTATTTTTATATAGAGTCAAAACCTGTGGACTCACCAACTTTATGTTGACGTATTTTAAAATGTATGTGTTTTCAGGATCTTGAAAACCTGGTATGTATTCGAATAGGAGAAGTTTTACTACTATCTTTCTGTTCATTAAGAAATATGCCATAGTCGGATATTATGTAATAGTTTCTAAAAAAGTTATGTAACTTTCAATTATAAATAAAGGTATGTATTTTCTTTAATATTGTTCAATGTATGTTATATAACAGTGATACGAAGAATGACGTTACATCACCCGGTGTTTCCGTCGACGACCGGGGTGTGACAGATTTGGTATCAGAGCTATTAACTATTGTCACTACTAGAAAAATAGCATTTTATGACGCGCAATTAATGACACACACGGATAAAGGGCGCGCATTTGTGCGTGCCCTAAAAATTAATGTCAGTTTTCCAAAATTTGAAGGATAGAAGACACCCATTTTTGGTGTGCCCTTAAATTTGTGTTAGAAAAAAAAAATACGGAGGGCACCTATCAAAAACTGTGCGTCGTGTAACTGTGTCGCTTTATATTTTTTTAGGAAACACGTGTTTTTAGGGGGAAAAAATGAAATCCAAAAAATTAACCCCGCCTATTCATCCCAAAAATTGCCCGCCTCTTCGAATTAGGGCCTTCATCTTCATCCACAACTTCCTCAATTCCTCGATCCATAACCTCCACCAAAAACCTAATTCTTGGTTCCAACAAACTCGTACACTCTTAATTCGACCCTAATGAGCTGAGGATTTAGGGTTCTTACCTCCCAGTTATCAATTTGAGCCGATGATTTAGGGTTCCTAAATCCGACCCTAATTTTTTCTATCACACTCTCGTATTTCCATCTCATCCCTCTCGCCTGGATTTGCGCCTGGATTTGTTAGGGCTTGTTTCATCCATTCATTGCCTCCCTACCACAAGCGATCTTATAAATCTGCCCAATCGACCTCTTCAATCATCTTTTCTATATCTTCATATGGTAAGAGCTTCAAGATTTATCTCTTTCCCAATTAGTGAGTTCTTTTGTTTTTACTTGATTGTTGAGTTTGTTCTTGCTCGATCTTCACATGTTTCTTGGAATTTTGCTTGTCAATCGCTTTATTTGTCGTGAAGATGCAAGCTCTTCAGATAATCTAGTCAAAGACATCACCGGCTCCCCTCCCGTCGCTGCGGTCGGTCTTCCTTCTCCTCACTGCCGTTGCCACTGCTTCTTCCACCCTCGCCGGCGTCAGACCTTCTTTCTCCTTGCGAACATCCTTTTCTTCCTTCCCGTCGCTGGCATCCTGAACTTGTTTGGTAAGAGTTTTATGTTAGGGTTCAATTCATAATAGCCTTGCTGGAAATCGGGAAATGAAACTGCTGGCAGAAGCTAATAAACCAGGAAGCCTTATCAACAACTACGTGACTCAGTTAAGTTGTATGTTGTCAAGCAAAGCAACAAATCTTGTGAGCCTCCAAGCCCGCCTCAGCAGGTTCCATCATCACCTCAAGGAGATTCTCAGCCATAAGAGGTTACCTCGTTAACACCCACACCCTACTCCAATTTACCTTGTAATCTCTCTCTCTCTCTCTCTCTCTCTCTCTTGTATGTGCAAAAAAGACGTAAATGTCCTCAATCATCATCATCCTGATCATTTTTATTGTAGGAATCGAACGAGAGTGGACTGTGATGTGAGTGTGGAGATTTGATTTCTTTTGGTTTTGGTTTTTCTTGGTTAAGTTTTGATTTGAATGAATGGTGTTTTTGTGAAGAAGTGGAAATAAACAAAGAAAAAAACACAAGGTATTGCTTGTTGCTCTGCAGGTTTGGTTTTTACTTTTTGTATATGTAATGCTTAATTACACCTTCGTACACCACGAAACTTTTTATAATTATTATTTCATATTATGAATGGTGTTGCACATATAGAATACATTCCACTATTGACCAGTCAATTAGGTGTAGCCTTTTTTGATGATAAACTTAGTTCTCTTTGAATGCAATGGTTACAAGACAATGTTAGTTAAAAAAAATATGGATTTGAGTAAATTACATTTTTGTTTAGGTTAGGTACGTACTGCTCCTATAGTTGTATACACTTCCAGGAAAGGCTCATCTGCAGCTGGGCTTACTGCTTCTGTCATTTGTGATAACAACACTGTAACTTTCTTATCTTTTTACTTTTTTTATACAAATATTCTACAACACCCTTCCATATAAGGGCTGCCATACATGAAGCCATGGAACAACAAACAATATCCATAACCAAAGCAGGAATAACAACAATTCTGAATTCCAGGACTTTTGTATTAGCTGCAACAAACCCTCCATCAGGTCGTTATGATGATCTCAAAACTGCACAAGATAACATTGACTTACAGACTACAATTCTTTCAAGATTTGACCTCATCTTCATTGTCGAAGATATAAACATGTCAGCCAAGACAAGGTATTTTTTATATATATTTATTTAATTATGTTGTTTATTACCCTATATATATATATATATATATATATATATATATATATGTATGTATGTATGTATATATATATATAATTATCCATATTGCTGCTATATATATATATATATATATATATAATTATGTTTTTATTACCCTAAATATATATAATTATTTAATTATGTTGTAGATGGTAGAGAACTTGTACAGATTCTTCTTGTTGTTAGAGCTGAAGCTACTGCTCAAGACACGCAACATGGAGGTACAACTCTACATACTGCTGCTATGACTAATGATTTGGAGTTAGTTAAAGTAAGTTTATTTATTTATTTATTTATTTATTTATTTATTTATTCTTCCATCAATTTCCTCAAGTGTGTTGACATTTTATGTACAGAAAGGCATGAATGAGTTGAATTGGTTGGACCATTAACTGCTGTTATGTTTGACAGATTATTCCTTATGCTGGAGTTGATGTGAACATAAGGAATGTGCAAAAAAACCATTCCTTTGCATGTGGCAGTGGCAAGAGGATCAAAATTATGTGTTGGAATGCTTCTTTCTGCAGGTGATCTGGTAGAAAAAGGCCTTCCCTTTCCTTTGCTGAGTATTTCCTCAGTAGTTTCCTGCTTAGCATCGCCCTCTCCAAATCCATTGCCCTTGTGATTTTATTACCCATCAACAAACAAACAAACAAACAAAGATGAGTATGAGTAAAGAAATGAAATGCAAGTATTATGATTCATATGTGTAAGCAAACCTTGAGGCGTGATGTACTGCTTTCTGGAGGAAGGATAGTCGGCGGAGCTCGATCTCGATGTAGACGGAATCAGATGGACCGCCTTGGATGAGAAAGAAAAGGTAGGTCCTGTGAATCAATGGAATGTTGCATTCATCCCACAATTCAGGAGTCATCTCTTCAATAATTGCACTGCAGCTCGTGCTTCTTGTCAAACCCATTGGCAAGTGAATCATTTAAGAAAGTTCAATGTGCATATGAGGCAAGTATATCAGTATATCTTCTAATTATATATATATATATATATATATATATATATATATATATATATATATATATATATATATATAAAGATCTTAGACTCATAATCACACCAATTTTCAGATTCTATAAAGAAAAGGGACTATGATGATCACTTGAGAAACAAAGATTCAAAAGCTTTGTTTCACAAATCTGCTACTTCATCTCATCAAGAGACTATTGTTTCACAAAAACTTTGTTTCACAATTTTCAGCCCCATTTCGTGCAGAACTACCCACCCCACCCCTACCCCCTACCTACCCACCCACCCCCACTCCACCCTCTCCTATAGATACAAACTCCAGTGTTGCACATCTCTCAAGTGGTGAATCAGAATTAGAGTCTTCAAATGAGGTAACTAATTCCATTTTCATGTCATGTAATTATAATTATAATTTTACAAATACTTTATTTATACATTTTTAGGAAACTATTGGAGGTAAGAGAAAGCATATAAAATGGGAATCCATAGTGGGTCCCGCTGTTGACAAAGATGTAGCACATGAAGTTGTTGGATTGAGAGCTGCAACTTTAGGTCACTCTCTCTGGGAATCAGCAACCTGTACGCACAGAAATTACAGAGGCTGCAATGGAAAGGGTTCAGAAGTGAGTAATTTTATTATATTATTTCATTTTATATTTTTGTATCTTACTCTTTTTTTTTGAATTAAATGTTAAAACATTGTTTCATAAATCAGATAAATTAGTAAAAGAATGATATATTGTATCATTGATTTTTTTTGCAGAAACTGTCACTTCTGATTACAGAAGCATATAGAGATGCCCATCAAAAGAGTGTCCAGGTTTGTATGATAATATAAAAGTACAATTTTACCCTTGGAGTAATATATTTTGAATTTGACCGTTTTACCCCTTTTTAGGCCATGAAAGCACGAATGGACGATCTTGCACAGAGCTTAGGAATGCCCCAAGGTTTGGGTGATCAGTTCAAGCAATAATTCAATCCCCATTTTGCCATCATCCTTCAGAAAGCTGTAGTTTTGTAGACTTAACTGTGCCAAAAGGTCAATATTACCCCTCAAAATTTAATAATACTTGTAGCAGTTCATATAAGAAGAATTGTGGGGTAACACAAGTGACTTTTTTATTTTTATTTTTTATTTTTTTAGGTTTGTTATCGGGTATTCAGATAAAAAAGCAGATTGTTGAATGAAGAAAAGAAAATGACATCCTAGTTTTTTCTAATTTTGACAGTCTACTTTCAAGGTATACCACAATTATAGTTTTTATTTTTATCTTTTATATTATGTTAAACGTCTTTTTTTGATGTCCTAATTACTCTTCTTCTTCTTCTTCTTCTTCTTCTTCTTTTTCTTCTTCTTTTTCTTCTTCTTCTTCTTCTTTTTCTGATTATGCACATCACTCTATATAGTAATACCTCCTATAACAGAATTCTAAAAAAAATCATCAGTGGATATAAACTTTTGTTTTACGACTTCCCTCTGAAGTCTGTCTTTTCTATAATCTATCCTGAAATATAAACTTCGGTTGTGGATGGGGTCTGACCCTCTTGGGTAGTTTAATAATCTATTTAATAATCTATTTACTTGGGTAATCTATTTACTTGGGTAATCAGTAATGCCTCATTTACTTTCTGTGTATAAATAAATAATTTATTTCTTTTCCTATTTGCTTATAATTCAGTACCTTTGTGATTGAATGTATTGTGGTTAAGAAGGATGATTCAGACATTCGAATGGTAGTGGATGCATGTTGTCCCCATGATATAAGAGAAGAGACAGATCTAGAATATTTCTACAGGTATAATATCTATTTATACATACATGATGATGTGTAATTATGCCGCATATACTATATATATTAAGTTGGTTGGTATTTTACTTTTAGGCATATTCCTCTTAATCGGATCAATGGTGATGCACACTGTTCTTTTCCTTCTTTTTCTGCTGCATATGAAGACATCAAGGAAGGAGATTCAAGCTCAACAACTTTTATTGAATGCTAAGGTCTTGTACGCAAAACATTTTCCGGTTTGTGTTGCAGGTTTGAGATGTTCGAGACAAAGAAGATGATGAACAGTAGGCTCTGAGAGGGTGGTGGCCTCAAGTTTTTTGATTTTTTTTGTTCTTTTGATTCATGAGAAAAACACACAAAAAACTTTTTTTGGTATTTTGCTTCAAACGAAAATCACAGGAACAACAAAAAAAACTCTTATTTCTTTTTCTCCTTATTCTTGTTTCGATTGGTAGCAGGAAGGTCTTGGCCTCTTGGGTCACTCTTATTTCTTTTTCTCCTGCTTTTCTATTTTCTGGCTCAATTAATGATGTTGGTGATGTTGGTTTCGATAGTGAGCAGGTAAGGGTGACTTGATGGAGGCTGGAAATATTCGGTTGTGATGGGTTCGTGGAGAGTGTAACGGAGCAGGTAAGTAAATTTATCATATTTGGTTTTCATTTGCAATAGGACTGAGAGGTGTATGGTGTTTCAGGTGATTTTGGTGGTGAAGTTTTAAAGGCTCAAACATATAATGAGTGTAGTGGCGAAGGATAGAACAGGTACCATTTCTGCAGTTTTGTTTGGTATTTTTGGTGTTGATCCAAGTGGAATTGCAAGTGGATAAAACTTTTTCCTGAACACATTTTCTAGAATATACCACAGCCTGATTAAATAATAAACACAAAGAAATAAATAAAATGAATGTTGCATTCACTTAAGGGATCCCAAGGTTGCATTCAAGTGTTAATCCAATTAGAATTGCAATCTTACCTGTGAACTTGGTAGGTTTAAAAGTAGAGTGTCTTAATAAGAATTAATTTTACAGGATTGATGAAAGAGAATAGCTCTGGAGTTAGAAGAGGAAAAGAAAGCTCAAGCTAAAAGAGATAAAATGATGCAAATGCAAGTGTTGCATTCTTCATTTCAATTGTTACTATGAAACACATAGTAGATTAGATGAATACAAATTTATATATTGTAATGAAATAGAATTTTATGACATTAAATTTTATGCAATGGATTCTATTTTTTGTATATGGTAATTTATTTCTATTATGAGACATTAAATGCAAATTTAATTTAAAAGTTAATAAATATATAAATATATTTTTTTAAACATTTAAAATTATGATACGCAAAAATGTGTGTCATCGTCATTAATGACATGGCCTTTCTTGACAGGGGCTTTCTTGATACGTATTGCGTGTCATTAACACGCGCGTTATAAGGTTACGACACACGAATGCGTGTCATTTTCCTTTATGACAGGGCCTTCCTTGATACGCATTGCGTGTCGTAAACGCGCGTCGTAAATGCGCGTCATCTATAGATGACGCGCAAAAGCGCGTCGTCTCTCTTTATGACAGGGCCTTCCTTGACGCTCATTTGCGCGTCGTCTGAGCCTTTTACGATGCGCAATGAACGTCGTAAAAGGCTGTTTTTCTAGTAGTGTGTGAACTAGTACTTTCTTAGGAAAGCACGTCTATAGTTTAGGGCTTACTCTATTAGGTTTAGGTATATCTCTTAGCCTACGATAAAAAGTATTATTAATTATTCTACTAAAGTAACAAACAATAATTAAAGCATGAATACACTAAATAAGAATATAGAGTCATATATAAAGACTCATACCCGCGAAGAGAATACACCTTAATACCCGGAATGTTTTTGATCTCAAGGGTTTAGATCAAATATTCCAACTAAAGTTTATATGTGCATAGATCCTATCACAACTAGGTGTAGGTGCGCAAATACATTTTATTATGATTAGATCATATGTAATACTTAATTTGGGAGAAATATTTGATAGACTAAACTCTTGATGATCCAAAATGTGTATGAATTCGACATGGCACATCCACGAGAATGGATAATCATCGAGGATACGGATGAAGAAGAGGAAGTTTCATTTCCCAGGATGGTAGGCGATCCTTACTACCCTATAAATCCAACCACCTTTCATCCAATACCTTCTGACGATGGAGCACCTTTACCTTCCAATGAATGGGAAGAGAGTGAACGAATGGAAGAGAGCGAACCAATGGAGGAGACATAATCAGTAGCATCATCTTTACCACCAATGAACACTCTTTATCGTCAAGTTCCAGGAGGAGCAAAGATGAAACGCACAGCACGTAAATCCATACCAATATGGAAAAAGATTAAGAAGAATCAGAAGGCGACATCTTCAGGAAGTCATAGAGTTCAAGATGAACCTGCATGGATAGCCCAAACCGTCGATAGGTGGGTGGCAGAAGAAATAGCTGCTAAGATGTATGAGACTGGCCAATCATCTCGACCGCATCCCCCACATTATTCTGAAGTGAACGCCTTATCTCAATTGTTTGAGAAAAGTGTAAAAATTGAAGATAAGATGGAAATTGTTGAAGGAAGGGCTATTCATCTCTCTGGAATAGTACGAAGGTTAGAAGGACAAAGAATGCGAGATCAGGAATCAGGAATCAGTGATGGATGTCCATCATTGTATAAATTTCGCTTATAACGATATGATTACTCACGATGCAATGATTGTAGAGTTAGCTCTATACAATCAAACCACGAGAAACAAGGAGCGCACATGAGGTCTTGAACAGAGAACTTAAGCACTTGAGGAGCAAGTGGTTAATGTCACTGATGTGCTAGGTCATCACTTGGGTTTCTGGTAGATTAGCTAAAACTAGTGGTTGTGTAAATATAGAAAATCAGACTAGTTAAGGCAAGAAGAGTAAACGTTTATAGAAAGGATGTAGAAAACCTTGCAAATTTTGTAATGTTTATAGAAACTTTTCTCCTATAAGCCTAAATAAACTGATGTAACCACCAATAATAATATGAAGCATATATTACAATAATCATTGTGTTATCCATTATGTTTTACACTTTGAAGAATAATTCAAATATTTAAGTATTCATGTATTAACTTACTAATAGAACTCATAAATTTTTTAATAGGAACTAAAACAAAATGCCTAGAAGGAGTAATCGGCTCACCCCTAACCGACCATCAACACCACAACAACAACAACTGCAACCACCACCAGAAATAAACCCCTCAATAAGTACAGTACAACTTGAAGAAATCATATCTCAAAGAATTGTTGCGGCTCTATCTAATGTCACAAGAGATGGAGTTAGAAATAAAGGCCATGTAAGGACCACTAGAACATGGACCTACCAAGATTTTATGAATTGCAGGCCAAAAAGCTTTCATGGAAATGAAGGGGTAGTTAATTTGACGAGGTGGATAGAAAAGACAGAGTTCGTCTTTCAAATAAGCTTTTGTCCAGACAATTGTAAAGTACAATTTGCAGCATGTACTTTCGCTGATGCAGCGCTTACATGGTGGAATAGCCATGTGAATACAATGAGGAATGATACTGCAAATTCCATGAAATGGGAAGAGCTAAAAATAATGCTAGTAGAGGAGTATTGTCCTAGGGAGGAAATAAATAAGCTGGAATAAGAATTGTGGACCCTAACCATGAAGGGTTCAGAGATAAAATCTTATACCACTAGATTTAATGACCTTGCAGTAATGTGTCCAACACTTGTAACTCTTGAATATAAGAAGATTGAGCGATATATCTGGGGTTTAGCATCGCAAATCAAAGGCATGGTGATCGCATCAAAGCCTACGACTTATGACAACACCAAGAGGATAACTCATCAGCTAACCCTCATAGAGATCCAAGGAACATAAGTAATCTCAAAGGTTGAGTCTCCCAAATCTAGAACAAACAAGCGCAAGTTTAATAAGAAGAATCCCAAAAAATCATCTGAGAAAAGACAAGAAGTGGCAACCAATTATGCAGCCACAACAGTAGTACCTACATAACAAAAATCTTCATGGTGCAATCAGTGCAACCGTCATCATCCAGGTGACTGTTTTGTCTGCATGAAGTGCAAGAAAAAGGGGCATACTACTAGTTATTGTAGGAGCACAACACCTGTAACAGTCAATCAACAAACCAATAATGGGACAAGACGTGGTGAAGGAAGAAAATGCTACGAGTGTGGGGAGGTTGGACATATCAAGAAAGAATGCCCAAAGTTAAGGAGTCAAGGAGGCATAGGACGTGGTAGGGCGTTTGTGATCGAAAGCGGAGAGGCTATCCAGGACCCTTCGGTCGTATCTGGTACGTTTCTCATAGATAATTTATATGCTACCATACTCATCGACTCTGGAGCAGATCGAAGTTTTAAAACTCCGACATTTAGAAAATTGTTAAGTCATAAGTCTAGCAGATTAAAAGAAATCTATGAAGTAGAAATCGCTAACGGATAATCTTAGAAAACACATGAAATCCGAGAAAACTGTCTGTTA